CCTGATTTGAGACAAAGCATTTTTACAATTAGCACAGCTTTGTTTTTTAAATTATGCATATCAATAACTTCAATGTGAAGGGTTGTTTTGCTGCGCTTGTAAATCAACATGACGTTAAGCTTTGTGGGTTCCAGTGCTCACTCCCACGTAAAAAAAACCTAATGAAACATGTTTAGGTCTGCAGATAAATTAAACCAGTTTTGGTAGAAGATGTAGGGTGAGGAGGAAGTAATGTAAAGGAGGCAGTAAACCGAATGAACAAATGACAGCTACAAAACAAGCAAGGCATAGATAGCATGAGTGGGATGGAAACAGAGAAGAAGATTATTTGTGGTGTGTTGTATAATGTGAGCTGTTGTGCTGTGGCTGCAAGATGTCACATCTTAGTCATCCCCAGAAAGCCTTACTGAACACTGAAAGCTTGGTTAGAAAAAAAAAATCTATTTGCCACTGCGGGATGAGGATTTTGCTCAGGATGCAATATTACATTTCTTTCAGTGCACAAAAATGGATGAGACATAACAAAAGCCAAATAAACAGGATTTTGGACTTGGATTATTTTGCTTCTTATCAGTTGTGACATTTGAATGGTGCCTGTTTATGCCCCCTGAAGGCAAGAAAATATTCGGCATAACTGCTGCTCTGCACAACACAACCAAAAAAGCATAATACACACCAAAGATCCATATCTTGCATGCATTTGTTAAAGTGAATTGCATTCTTCCATTTTTTCACATATTGATCAGCAGCAAAAACAGGGTAATAAATTACACTTTGAATTCAGTTTTACTCATAATAAGAATCATTCATCAGCCGCTTCTCTCCCTCTAGGCCCGTGTTAAAGCAAACTAACAGCTTGAGGCGAGGAATTAAAAACTGATTCTCCCCACCTTCACTCACAGCATTTATCAATTATCACCAGCCAATATTTTCTGCCACAATACCATTTGTTATGCCAATAAACTCACTATGGAATGTTTCCGCTCTGCATTATAGTGGAAACAAAGAGGGCTTTGGGCAAGTACTAAATCTAGTTTTCACAGCAGCATAACAAAGAGATTTCATTACAAAATGCAATTTCAAAAAGAAAACTACTCTGTGGTACAGTAATTGAAAAAAACAGGAAAGAAGCATTAAGGCAGCTTGACTACTCTGAGCACTAGCTCAGATTGGAGATTTAATGCTCAGGATCCCAGTGCAGTCGATGTTGTCAGCAGAGTCATTCCAACAGTCAATCCCCTGGCCTATTGAGACAAGCTTTTAAATATGCCACGAGTTAGTTAGAGGTTCTTCTGAAGCTGCTGCTGATCTGAACACGTGTGTTTTGGGCCACTTGAGATGGTGCAGAGGCACAGTGTGGAGGAGTGTGGGGCACTACTGGATATGGACTGAGACCAGAACATAAGATTTTCTAATGGTTTCAGTCCCAGAGCTTGAGGAGCTTCAGCTCATTAATTGACAGTGAAAAAAATTAGCTTTTAATCTCACTGCCTCACTAGAGGAGTCATCTCCCCTCACATTCATGGACAGTGGTGAAAAAAGGCAGTGCATCAGGTAGGGTTTACTCCCCCGATACAGCTTGACGGCATCTTACAGCAGGATCCAAAGACAAGTATTCAGAATAACACAATGTACTGTACCACCAATTAAAGGATAGTTCCAGGTAAATACAAACTAGATCTTACTGTGTTTTTCTCATTTTGGTCCTATTTTCTACTGGTACTATTGTCACTGTAGCTTGTTTATAAATTTTCTGACCTTTTAATCACTCCTGTTGTTTTTCTCCATCAACCTTCCATCAGCATAACACAATTTTCCTAGATCCAACAACAAAAGTGTCTCAGTGAAAAACAAACACTCACATACATACACATAGCGAACAGGCCATAAGGTCCCATTAGTCACTAGAACCTTTCCCACACATACCTTGCCAAAGACTAATTCGCTTATATCCTTAATGACTTGCCAAGGTAACACCTGTGGACTAGCTAAACAAATAAATGATGGTGAGAGGCACAAACAAATGAGAACCACATCATGCAAAAAGGGATGGAGAGATCCATTAAGCTTGGGGCTCGAGGAATGGTAGCAGCAGGACACTGAGTACTGCAGCAGGAAGACAGATGATCTCTGAGAGGAGGGAACTCCAACAGTACCTGCAGTCCCTGGAAACTTTTCCTAATCAATTTAGTCTATCTGGACTATACGAAGGAGGAATTAAGGTATGTGGAGGATATGAATGAGGGACAATGGTGTTTATTCAGGTGTACAAGGTTTTGCAAGGCAGTCAATTTGCTGGCTACAGAAACACATTTCTGTAGATTACACAAACAAAAGGACACATTTGCAGAGCAACAAAGCTCGGTGTTGGTGTACTGGCTTACCAGCCAGATTCTCATATAATTGGAAATGGCGACAGTAATTCTTCATCCTCTAAAGCCTGGTACAAAAACATTACAACCGAAACACAAAAGTGTTTCCCTTCCCACTTCCCATCCATGTGTTCTCATGCATGAATAATGGTTAAAAAACATGAATAAAGGGAAACAAATGCACATTTGGATATTCATCAGAGTGGTTCCAATGTATTTTTATAGTCAATAAAAATTTACACCAGGCTGACCTAGAGCATGTGTAAAGCATATGTGAATCCCACAGTGGACAGTCTTTCACTTTTGTGGGGTCATTCCAAAGTGCATAGCACCTTTACCAGAGCTAAACAGTTTTGTGTAACTATAATCTAAACTATCTCTCATGGAACGTTAAGTCTGTTGGCCTTGGCACAGATTTGTGCAGGGTACCGTTGTTGTGCCATCTGCAGCAGTGCCAGAAACTGACACATCTATGGTGATGGCAACGATATGCTCATGGGTTTGGCAGAGCTTTGCAGCAGCTGTTCCCCTGGTGTCATCCAGCTGCTTTCACAAGTTATTTCTCGTATAGTTCTCTTAGCGGATGTAACATCAGTCACTTTCTCTGTGTTCTCTCTACTGTATATACCACAACTGCTTGTTGAAGGCTATTTTTGTTAAAATGACACAGAGTAATACTGTAATACTTCTGACACAAATTATTTTTTGCTTTTTTAAATGTCCATTATGGATTATGGATGGGGGTGTTTTCCCACCTAATATTTCATCTCTTAGGTGGTGCAATTACATTCACTGATGATAATTAAGGTTACATGAGCATGCCTCATATTTATCAGTGATCCAAATGCATCAACATGAACAGGTGCCTCTGAACATTTCATGAATTTGGTTTTTAATATTTTTGATTTGCATGCCTGAATGTTTTGTGAATGACATATGTATCTCCATAGCAAGCTTACCATACTAAATTCCTCATCGTCCTTCTTTAACGAATTTGTTTCACATTTTGGGATGTAAACCTATTTACTTTGCTGCCAAGACTGATGGAAAGATTGATATGACACCTATCTCTATAGAGGAAAATTAAAGCTACTTCGCTGGAGGATTTATCTGGCCTGTGAGTTTTTCAGCAATATAGAGTGTTGGGTCAAGACAAGAGACTGAACGCAGGATTATAAAACTTTGCTGAAGGCTTAAAGAGTCAGTTATTTGTGCACAGATTGCTTACAGTGCTTTAGTCTTACTCAGCTGTTTGCCACAATGCAGGAATATGAGGGTGCCCACGTGCTCTACAGACTAGAGAGTAGAGAACATCACAAATGTATAAATAATAACTATATATATATAGTTATTATTTCCAAAAGATCCCAGGAACAACATCTGAGATCTCTGTCCAGAAGAGTGGAGTCCTAGGAACAGCTAAGATACTGCACAGGACCCTCAAGCTCCCAGGCCTCTGGTAGAGGACCCGAGCAATTTTTATATGTACACACACACACACACATATGGCTCTATAGGTGCATAACATGTGGACTATTAACCTCCATACAACTTACAATAATTATTCTCACTTAATTAACAAGGCTCTCAAGGCTAATTCTACCATAAATTAATCACTAAGCAACTGATGTAACTGTAATAGGCAACCAGGGATAACTTAACACAAACTATTTCCTTAACATCAATATAACATTATCTAGTGTAACAGTTAACTGAACAGTCCATTGCTGCAAGGTGCGACAGTTTTCTCGATGCTGCTTTGGTTTTTAATCGACTCTTTTCCATTTGACAGCTACCACCAATGGACAGTTAGCTTAGCATAGTATAGCACAGCAAATACTGGAATGGGTGAAACTGCTCTTTCTCTCCAGCAGTAGCAAAATGCACCTACCAGCTCTTCTAAAGATCACAAATGAATGCAGTGTGTAAAAACACATAGCATTTTGGTTTCTATTTTCTATTGGTGAACTTTAGAAGTGCTAGTAGTGTAGGTGGATTTTGTTACCTTTAGACATAGCCAAGTTAGTTGTTTTTGTCTTTTTACAGTCTTTCTGCTAAGATAAGCTACCCAGCTACTGGGCTGTAGCCAGCCTAGTCTCACAGAAAAATACATTACACATAGTAAGTTTAAAACATAGTATTGTCACAAAAACGGCTGTAAAATTGTGACATGACAACGTTTGTTGTATTGCAGCCCTTTCATTTTGCTGCTGAAAGACTCTGCGATGACACAATTGTTGCAATGTCACAAATTTTGAGGTGTTACTGTAAAAGTAGAACATTTTGTTTTGCGGGCCAGTACAGCTACTATATATTTTTTCTGTGAGACTGGGTTGCTTTAGCTTTATATTTCTAGTACAGATTAGAGAGTGGTATTCATCTTGTCATCCTAATTTATGGCCAGAAAGCAAATAAGTGCTCCACAAAAAGCACTGCCCCCTGAAAACAGCTCATAAATCCTCTTATTCACACAGGGACTTTATTATTTGATCTCTGTTACACTGTGTCCAGTACAGTAATGTTTTCAGTCTTTAATGTATTGTAACCATTTCAATTTTGATGAAGTGTAAATAAAGAAATGGAATTTAAAAAACACTCCAAACCAAACATTCAGCAATCATCACTCACCCTGAAGTCCACCTGTGCCATGTCATCTGCATGTGCACTGACCCCGCGGATGAACAGGACCGCCGCGCTGTTCATTGTGTCTCGATGAGGAGCCAGATTTAGATTCCTGTCCACGTGGAAGTTGGGATCTGACACCTCGAATGTCACGTCTTTGTTCCCTGCACAGTCATCAAACTCGACTGGAAAAAACACACAGAATGGGGAGATGTTATGCCTTCACTCCGAACAAACTACACATCGAAAAGAAGAATCAGCTATGTGAAATGCAGTCGTGAGACACGCGCTGCACTGTAAAGAACTTGGGGGATTTTCAAAGGATCCACAAAAACAAGTATTTCTCAGAAACAGACAGATGCCCTGAAGATAAACAGATGCCCTGCAGAAACACTACATTGTTCTGAAGGGCTCTGTCAGCTAGGCTACAATAAAAGTCAGTGATCTCTATTCGCACAAGCCTGCTGCTTGACCCACTGTATAACATGTGCACTGAAGACATATTAATGTGTGTGACTTCCTTCCACTACAGAGAATTCAGTGGCAACCAGTTGCAGGGCTGGAGGAAAAAAAAAACGGATTTAAGGTGCAGGAGAAGAAAAGTGTCATCTTTGAGTTACATGCGCGTGACACGTGCACATATGAGCTTGTCTTGTCTGACTGAAGCAGATATTGCCCAGGACTCAACCAACCTTTATCCCTTCTGATCATGTTCATCCTCTCTTTATCTCTCTCACACATTCCCCTCGGTGTCAGGACCTGATCCCCATCTCCTCTCCTACCCTGAGCCCTGACAGTCCTCCCCACCATCATCCTTCACCTTCTCTTTACCTCAGCATCCTGTGATGCTTCCTACCGTTGTGGATTGTGGAGGGAGGCCTCAGAGGAAGTCTACATGTGTGGACATGGACGTAGACGTGGTATGTGAAACTGATGCAACAGGAACTACATGGTGCTGTACAAGTCTCACTGAGGGTCTGACAGTGCAGGCGCATTTCAAGTTCCTGCCTCAGACATATGGTGGCTTCTATAAGACTTTATTATTTCTTTTTGAGAATTCTGTTTGAGACTAGGAATTGCCAGAATTTTGACATGTGAGAGACAGGATATTCCATATGGCTATCATCATTAATGCAGCATATGTCTTTGGACCTTCATGTTGTCTGTTAACAAGTCCAAAAAAATAAAAATAAGAGAGAGATTATCTGTCTCCTATCCTTAGGGACAAGGATACGATGCTGGGCTGTCAAAACAATGTCCTATATAATTCATCAATTATGGATGTGATGCTTTCAGCTTAACATAACAGGAAGCTCTCTGGTGGCTTACAATCAGCAGAAGAAATTGCTTGAAGTCGCTGTGTTCTGTTCACACTGGAGACTGAGAGGCCATTTTTTTTTTGAGGAAGAGTGGGTTCAGATTTGAGCCGCTATCATCAAGTTTCTCAGTGCAGTTTGTAGGCCAGGGAGGGACCACTCTGAAGATAAAGCACAGCTCACATCCACAGTGCAAAGGATGGGAGTTTTCTCTGCTGACCCAGCCTGGTGACAGGCTGTCAAACCACAATGAATTTTGATATTTACATACAAATATTGTTTATATGTATATGTAATTTTGCATCAGATTCAGTGTGACTTTTATGTAAAAATGGAGTAATACAGGGTTGCAATCCAACAAACTGCTATATTTTAAAAAGGAAAGAAAAAAGAAGAAAATAATTAAGCAAATGATTTGAATCTGTCTTTTTGTGTATTTTATATTTCATATTTTCATTTGTATGTATCATCTTTAAGATTGTAAATGAAAACAAATTCAATTTGCCATTGTCTTTATGGTCAGAAATAACCATTCAGTATAGCTTCATTCTGTGTTTACCTCTCTGTACAGTAGTTTTCTTTTAGTGGTGGGCAGAGTCAATGATTAGATTTTTATCTCATTAACATCTCTATCACTGTTTATTTCCTCTCCTGATACCAAGTTATATCAGAGCTTTTACTGCTAATGCAAATTCAGCGTTTTCTCCAACTGCTACTTCTCAATAAAAGCACTGAACTGGAGGCTTTTAAGCAGTCATAGGAAAGGCAATGCATTTGTTACTTAGATTAGCACTGACACGGATCCTTCATCAATAATGCATAAGCAACGCAAAACATGATCATTTGTGGCACTTTTGACAGCAGATCAGTTTTAAGAATCATAGAGGAAAGACCTTGCAAAGAGGACTGTTAGATGAAGAGCTGCAGGTAACAGGGTGCACGCCTCCAACTTCAGAGGAAGGTAAATAACTTTACTGTGTCCTGTTGTGTGAAAAACTGCTTGCACAGCATATATCATGAAATCTAATCCCAGTTGCCCATGGCACGATAGAAAAAACAATTATTGACAGACTTTATTGGTATTACAATGTGTGCAACAGATTAACACATAGTAGGAAAAGGCTGCTGTTCAATTCAAGTACAATGGTAACCCACCGCTGTAATTAACACAGAGTGCTCCACTGCTGACAGTCATTTTCCTCAATAAACAATGTGGATGGGATTTAAAACTTAAAATATCTGCAGCAAGGAGTAACAGAAGAAGCCAGACTAAACAGTCACAGGATATTATTTTTTTATTCTCAGGACAGTACCAACCATGGACTTTTACTATTTTAATTGTGTGCTGGCATAATAGGAGAGGGAGGTATATCATCAGTTGGTCAGATATCATGCAGCCATTGTTTCTACATAATAAAACAGTGGGGAGGGTAAAGTACTCACTGAAATGAGAGGAAGTAGGCAGTAAAGTATTCACTTAAAATCTTCCCTCTGGACAAAGCTGTTTTCTACCATTGGGATGAAGAAGAAAATAATGGAGCGATGAATAGAGGAGGGTAAAAGAGGAAAAAATGAAAAAGAAAGGACAGGAAAGGCAGGGCTACAATGGATACTGAGGGAGAGTTACAAAGTCAAGAACCTACTCTTGTGGGAAACAAGGCTCCATCTCAATATTCAACTCTCACTTCTAAGCCAAACCATGAAAGATGTGTTCATTTCCATTCCCATTACAAGTCTCAGATTTATTTCAATAACACGGTGTGCTCTTTAGAGCTTGCAAATTGAAGGACCAAACAGTGTCAGTGGCATTTCAAAGGCAGCCAGAGAGTGTTTGATGGTATTCTAATGTTGTCAGGTTTTGGGGGATTTCAGAGGAGAGCATGGTGAGCTGGCAGCTTTGAAGTCAGGCAACAATGGCAGAACACAACTTAAGCCGCTCACCACCATGCACCCACTTTCTTACTTCGGAGTGTTGGTTCAGGGTTGAAATAACTGCACAACATGGCTTAGGGTCACCAAAATCCCTCACTGATGACTCAAGAGGAGGAAGAGGGTGGGGGTCCAATTTCTTCCTCAAGTTTGACATTCAAGTCCCTTTCACACCAAAACCTCCCATGGAGCAAAAGCTTGAGCCCTTTTCAGACACACAGCAAACCAGAATTTATCTAGACATTACCCAGAGGAGCTGTATGTGAGAATGAAAACGTCCGAGTCAGTTGGTATAAAGTCCGTGTAATGTCTGATTAAGCCCATGTGTAAATAGAGAAGGTTATTGTATGGAGAATTCACATGAAGCGAGCAGGCAAGTTGATGACATTTCTCCATGCAACTGGTGCAAATCCAGAAGATTCCAAGTATTCGAATGTTAAGAAGCGTCACTGACATAGACAATCTCCAGTTGTGTTCTACATATTTAAAAAGGCAACTCTGGATAATGTTTGAAAAATTGGGTCCACACATTGTCAGATGTGAAAACCGCTCTAGTAATCAAGTGCCATGTTTACTTTATTTGTCATCATCTATTCCATCAGCTTTCCTCCAAAAACAGTGCTATCACACAGCTGTGGACCAGTGATTTAACATAAAATTCTTCCATGAACTTTTGACTCTTTTAAGAACTAAATATAGGCTTTATACTCGATTATGTCAGTTATCTCCAAAAAGATCAAACACTGTAAAATGTACTAACAAGGCCAGCAGAATGATAAAGACCAAACACTTACAAAACTGCAATTTTGATTTCCTGCCTCTCAATGATGAAGAAACATATTTTGATATCCAACCTTATCAAAGCCCCAGTCTTTCTGTCAGTCATTTAAACTGGAACACCCCCAACCCCACCCCATCAGGTACTAAAGTTTTCCTCGGAGATGTTTTGAAGACATTTTTCTGTCTTGTAACTAAATGTCAAGTCTCCGTGATGGCAGAGATGGCAATCAGAAGAGTAATCTCTAAGGTGGTGTGTTGGAGCAGAAAGCTGCCGTGTCTAACCAGATAAAAAAGGCTCAAGAGAACGCCATTCTCAAATAATCACCTAGTGTTAAAGAGGGAGCTGCTTTTGGAAAAGTATTTACACTCTGAATTGCATTTTACCCCAGGGTTTCCTATCACAGAGTATTGTGTAAGATCCATTAATAACAGTCAGTCTTGGGCTTTTTATATAGGACTTCAAATATGTGGAGTCCTGACTCACCTCCTCCACCTTTCTTGTCACTCCAGCCAAATCCACCAAGTCAGATGCGGGATTGCTAATTATCAGATGACACAGAAAACTGTGTAGTGCGTCGCTCTAAGTCTGTGCATACTAACATGTAGGCACGTGTGTAAAGGTCCGCCAAGCATGATATATTATATATTATATAGCACATTTAACACAGCCAGAGCTGACCAAAGTGCTTAACACAATATCCACAAAACCCATTAAAACAAAATAAAACAAGCAACAATAAAACAACATCACACTTAAAACAACCACCCATCATAAAACAAAGGCTCCACAAGACAGAGGCCCATACTGGGTCGAACGCCAAACGGTATAGATGAGTCTTCAAATAAGTTTTAAAAGTGAAAAATGAGGGGGCCTGCCTAAAGTACAGCGGCAATGCATTCCACAACTTAGGAGCCCCCACAGAGAAGGCTCTGTCCCCACTAAGTCTCCGCCTAGCTGATCAGCTGATCTGAGGCAACGAGAGGGACTATAGGGATGCAGCAATTCTGTAAGATAAAGGGGAGCCAAACCATTAAGAGACTTAAAAACAAATAAAAGAATCTTAAAATGAATTCTAAAACACACCGGCAGCCAATGTAGAGAAGCCAAAATGGGTGTGATATGGTCCCTTTTGCGCCCTCCAACCAGTAGACGAGCAGCA